GACTTAGCCACCTCAGTCTGTGTGTGTGTGTGTGTGTGTGTGTGTGTCTGTCTGTCTGTGCGCGCGCACACTCCCTTGCACGCACCTATGGAGACCAGAGATTGATGGTTGGGCGTCTTTCCTCTATTACTGTCTGTATTATTATTATTTAATGTTTTATTTTTTAAATTTTATTTATTTATTTATTTTTTTGGTCGTTTTGAGACAGGGTCTCCCTGTAGTCCCAGCTGTCCTGGATTCACTATGGAGACCAGGCTGGCCTCGAACTCACAGAGATCCGCCTGCCTCTGCCTCCCGAGTGCTGGGATTTAAAGGCATGCGCCACCATGCCCGGCTAATGTTTTATTCATTTTTTAATTTATTATTTTTATTTTGTGTGTATGAGTATATTGTCTGCATGTATGTGAGTGCACCCGTGTTGCGCAGTGCCGTGGAGCTTGGAAGAGGGCTTCGGATTCCCCTGGAACTGGAGTTAAGGACAGTTCGTAGCTGCCATGTGGGTGTTGGGAGTCGAACCTGGGTCCTCTGCAAGAGCAATCAGTGCTCTTAACCACTGAGCCATCTCTCCAGCCCCTATTATTTTTATTTTATGTGTATGAGTGTTTTGCCTGCAATTATGTAAGTGTATCACATGTGTGCAATGCTCTGAAGAGGTCAGAAAAGGGTGTCAGAACCACTGGAACTGGAGTTATAGACAGTTGTTAGCTGTCATGTTGGTGCTAGCAATGGAACCTGGTTCCTCTGGAAGAACAAGTGTTCTTTTTTTTTTTTTTTTTTTTTGGAGGGGGTCTTTTTGAGACAGGGTCTCCCTGTAGCCCCAGTTGGCCTGGCACTCACTATGTATATGTAGACCAGGCTGGCCTTGAACTCACAGGAATTCTCGTCTGCCTCCCAAGTGCTGGTTACCTTGTTTTTAAAGTTGGGAAGCAGAGCATGATGAATGCTGATAAAGGTGTATGCCATCACACCTGGCAGAACAAGTGTTCTTAACTGCTGAGCCATCTCTCCAGCTCCACCTGTCCATATTTGTTTTTTTAATTTGATTTATTTTATGTGTATGAGTGTTTTTGTCTGCATGTATGTTAGTGAACCTGTATCATGCACTACACCCTTGGAGGCCAGAAGAGGGCATCCAAGTAAAGGAGTATTGTTAGCTGTCCTGTGGGTGCTGGGAACTGAACCTAGGTCCTCTGCAAGAGCAGCCAATGCTCTTAACTGCTGAGCCATCACTGTCCATTCTATTTTCTGACAGTGTCTCTTACTGAACTTGGAGCTTATTAATTGGCTAGATTGGTTAGTCAGTGAGCCTCTGGGATCCTCTTGTCTTTGCCCTTATCCTTCTCAGTGCTGAGGTTACAGGTGCACACCACCACATTTGGCTTTTTACATGAGTGCTGGGATTCAAAGTCAGGCCCTTATGCTTGTGTAGCAAGCGTGTTACCTACTGAGCCAGGTCCTCAGCCCCCACATCACCCTTTTTAAAACCTCTGAACTGGCCTGGTGTCCTTGTATGGTATACTGTAACTTACCAAAACGTCTCTAATGTGCTTTCCCTCTTCTTCTTTCTATATCTCTTCCTTTCTCTTCTTTTTCTCTTCTTCTTCCTTTTCTCCTCTCGTCTTTCCTTTGAAAACAAACAAAAACAAATAAAAGCTGGGTGTGTTAGTTACTTGTCTTGTTGCCATGACAAAATAACCTGATTAAAGCAGCTTAAAGAGTTCATTTTGATTCACAATTTGAGGGTAAAGTCCATCCTGGTTGCAGGAGCTTGAGGCAGCTGGTTACCTCGTAATTACAGTTGGGAAGCAGAGCGTGATGGATGCTGATGCTCAGCTAGTTTTTGTGTGTGTACAGTCAAGGACTTCAGTTCGGGAAAACGGTGTTGCCCACATTGCCCATATTTATTGTGGGTTGTCCCACCTCTATTAATCTAATGTAGATAATCCCTCACAGACATTCAGAGGCTTGTCTTTGGTGATTGTAGAGCCAGTGAAGTTGATACTAGTAACCATCACATGGGCTGTGGTAGCATATGCCTGGAATCCTAAGTTTGGGAATCTGAGGCAAGAGGATTGCTGTGAGTTTGAAGCCAGCGTGGGTTATATAGCAAGTACCAGGCCAACTTGGGTTACCTAGGCAAGTTCCAGGCCAGTCTTGACTATAGTGTGAGACCCTGTCTCAAAAACAGAAACAAAACAAAATAAAAGAAATAAATGTATTTTTTGCACATTTTACTGAGCCACAGGGATTATATATTTAAAACTTTGGTAGATATTGCCAGATTGCCCACCAAATGCTTGTGGCAGTATATATTTACCAACCGTCTGTGGGTATCTGTTCCTTATTGCCTCAAGCACACTTAAACATTTAAAAACTATTTTAATGCAAACAAAATGAATTAAAATTTTCTAAGAATTTCTAAGCAGCTTAGTGACAAAAATGTGGAGATAATGTCTTACAAATGTATTTTAATTTTCAAGTTCTATTTTTTTTTCAAAAACATGATGACTTAGTAATTGTGTACTATAAGTAAGATTTGTGTTCTAGCTTCATCATTTGACATTTGATAGTCTGGTTGGTATGTGGCTTAGATTTCATGGTTTTGCTTTGAAATTGGGGCTTGATATGTTGCCCAAGTTGGCCTCAGACTCTTGGGGTCAGGCAGTATTTCCACCTCAACCTCCTTAGAGCTGGGACTATCTGACTTCATGATTATTTTTATTTATTTTTATATTATGTGTTTAAGTATTGCCTATATGTATGTAAGTGCACCCATGTCATACAGGCTTGCAGAGGTCAGAAGAGGGTATTGCATTCCCTGGAACTGGAGTTACTAAGGGTTGTTAACCGCCATGTGAGTGCTGGGAATTGAACCTGGGTCCTCTGCAACAGCAGCTAGTGCTCTTAACTGCTGAGCCATCTCTAGCCCCGTAATAGCCTTTTTTTTTTTTTTTTTGAGACAGGGTTTTGCTGTTTCCCAGGCTAGTCTCAAATTCACGGACTCAAGTGATCCTCCTGCCTCAGCCTCTCAAGCCACCTAGACTAGAACATTCTTTATTTTTATATTTATTGATTGATTGATTGATTGATTGTCTTTTTTTGAGACAGGGTCTCCCTGTAGCTATATCTGGCCAGGAACCAAGTCCTGTTTTTTTCTTTAGGACCTAAATTTTACTTGATTTTTGCTGTTTCTGGTTGCTTTTTCTTTGGTTTACTTTCTGTTTAAAATTCTTTGGACTTGGGGCAAATTATTAAGTAACCACTGTGTACATTGACGCCTACTCAGTAACATTTCAGTGACCTGGACAGGGTCATTCTTGTTCAAAACCTTAATTGTGGAATGTGAAGAAATGTATTTACATTTTCCACTTTCTTTAGGGTATAACTAAACTTTTTATAGGTAACTTACTCTAATGGGTATGCAGTTCCTATAGTTATTTAGTTTGTGATTACAAAATACTTGAGGATGGTTTAGACTAGTTTAATGTATAACAGTTTAATCATTCTCGAGTGTGATTTACAACAGTTTAATCTGCTTAGGATAATTGTCTGGCTTATGCTCAGTAGAATTTGGCACTAGTAGCTCCATATAATGGGTTGTATTCTGGCTTTTTAGATATAGCCATTCAAGATATCTTTAAATAACAATTATGTGAAATGTGTGTTCTGGAAGTTGAGATTCCACTCTGGTATTGAGTTTTGTGCCCTTTAGCAAGTTAGCTTTCTAGGTATCTATTGTCCAATCTGTAAAACAGGGAAGATAGTAGTAATAGCACCACCAGCACATGGGTCCTGAGGGTCAAATGAGATAACACAGAGTATAAGTAACACTGTTGTTTTTGTTTTTGAGGCAGAGTTTTTGCTATGTTTTCCAGGCTGGCTTTGAACTATCAGGCTAAAATGTTTGATTTTCCTGTCTTAGCCTCTCAGGTAGCTGGGATTTCAAGTCCAGTTCAATGCATGTTAGGCATTTTAGCAAAACACCTGGTGTAATAGTCTGTCAACATTAACTACTAGTACTGAAGTTACATTTAGGAGCTCTTTGAGCTTGATGATGAATACCTTTTTGTTTAATATTGTTTAGCATAAAACAAGATTTTTTTGTCTTTTTAAGACAGGGTCTCCCTGTAGTCCCAGCTGTCCTGGAACTCACTCTGTAGACCAGGCTTGTCTTGAACTCACAGAGATCTACCTGCCTCTGCCTCCCAAGTGCTGGGATTAAAGGCGTGCACCACCACGCCCTGTTTAAAACAAGATTTTATGTATATCTTTTATATATAAATAGATGATTCTTAAGTTTTTTTTTATAACTTTTCAATCTGTTATATCTGAAATCATATTTAATAACATGCTTATTTATGCAACAGTGGTGATAGAGGAAACTGTGTCTCAATGTACTCAGGACTCTGTAAAGAAAAATTGAAGTTGGAAAAAGACATAGCAGATATACATGCCTGTATACTGGTGCATGCGTGTAAATCTCAGCATTCATGAGGCTGAGGCAGGAGAATTGCTGTGAGTTCAAGGCCAGTCTGGACAACATAGTTATTTCAGGTCAGTCTGAGTGACAGAGTGAGGACCCCCCCCGCCCCCAATTATTAATAATCTAGTTTAGAACCTGATGTGGTGGTACACACCTTTAGTCCCAGCATTTGGGAGGCAGAGGCAGGCAAATCTCTGTGAGCTCAAGGCCAGCCTGGTCTACATAGTGAGTTCCAGGCCAGCTGGGGCTATAGGGAAACCCTGTCTCAAAAGACTAAAAAAAAAAAAATAAATTCCATATTTTCAACCCAGGAAGTAAAACGTGCCAGTTTCTTTTAGTACTGACTAAAGATACCTGATAAAGGAAGAATGGTTTGATTTTCCTCTGCGATTGGCTCACATTTTATTTTTACAGATACTATGTAAACTGTACACATACACAGCTAAGTGATAAACACTTGACTGACTCTTCGCACATCACAGGATACCTTAGCTCATTGTGTCTTTCTTATCTTTAGAATGATTGAGGAAGGTGGGAACAAGCGGAAGACCATGGCTGAGAAGAGGCAGCTCTTCATAGAAATGCGTAAGTCTCCTGGGCTCCTAGTGTGTAATGTTGCTGGTTTTTGTTGCTATTTACTTTTTTTTTTTTTTTCTAGATTTTCTGAGACAGGGTCTCCTTGTGGCCCCAGCTGGCCTGGCACTCGCTATATAGACCAGGCTGGTTTTGAACTCACAGAGATCTGCCTGCTTCTGCTTCTGGAGTGCTGGGACTTAAGTGTTGGGACTAAAGGCGTGCACCATCACACCTGGCTGCTATTTACTTTTTTTTTTTTTTTTTTAACCTGATAAGTCATAGTTTCAATCAGTTAGAAGTTGTATTTTATAAGCCTTGGAGAGGGAAGAATGGGAGTTAAAGAATCATGGTCCTGGAAGACTTTTAAGCCACAGCATGTATTTTATTTGAATTGGCTTTTGCTTTGCTTTTTAAAACAAATCTATAAATAATAAGAAAGAAGTTGATAGGTAAAAAGTTGGCAGAGAACGAGCTAATGGATGATGAGGCACCGAGGCACAGATAAAACTCCATCAAAATAGGGTTTATTAGCAAAGGAACATATGGGACAGATTCCCTTCCAGGCAGGGAAAATGTCTGCCCAGGTCTTGAGCTGGGGTCTTTTAAAAAGGGAGGCTTCTGCTTCTTGCAGAAAGTGGGAAGATGAATTTTTTTAAGTTGGGGGGGGGGAGTAGGAGAGCGGGACTGTTAAAACCTGTCCTCTTTAGAGATCAAAGGGGAAGCCTGCTGTGTTGGCCAAACAGTGGAGAAAAGTCTGCTTCTCTTGACTTTAAAGACCAAGGTGCTTATCAGCTAGGTTCCCTTTTCTCAGGAGCATGAGAAGTCCTTGGGATCCTGTTGGTGAGGGAGCAGGGCTATCTGAACCTTAACAATGACCAGGGATTGTAATTCCAGCCTTTTGTGTTATAGGATAGGGGGCGCAGTTGTCGTCTTGCTACTTCCTGCTGGACGGGGTTGACATGGCGGGGGGGGGCTGGATTAGGGGTTGGTCAGACAGCAGGGGTTCCCTCTTCATGCATGTCAACAAGGTCCTCGATGGTTGACAGGCACTTGTGTACATGTGGAGGGAAGGAAAGTAACAACTGATTAAAATTAGTAAGAGTTAGGTTTTTTTTGGATTTAGTCCTGAAAATATCTGAAGAGGCAAGGAGCAATGGTTAGCACCAAGGTAATAGCTCATTTTTCTTTTTTCTTTTTCTTCTGCCAGGGCTGAACTCGAGAGTGATGGACTCAGGATTTGTTTTCAGGCATTTTGATAGCTATTGGAGTGGCTAGAATCAGTGTCAGTTACCTCTCAAAGGCCTCTAGATAGGGAGAGAAAACAAATTTACCCATGATTTAATTAATTATTATTATTTTTTGGTCTTTGTGAGACAGGGTCTCCCTGAAGCTCCAGCTGTCCTGGAACTCACTATGTAGACCAGGCTGGCCTTGAACTCACAGAGATCTGCCTGCCTCTGCCTCCCAAGGGCTGGG